CATGCAGCTTCAGACCGATCGTTTCCAACATGAGAGCTACCCTTCTTCCCCATTTCCCTGTCTCTCATGGCCAAACCACAACGCAGATGGTAAATAAGGGGTTATGCTTGACAACAAAGGCATAGTATGTACTTTTTGCTTGATACGTTGCAGATAATATATTACGGGTATGATGATTATTAGGTTGGGTTGTAAGAATTAAAGAACGGAGCGATCGAAGTAAGGTCAAATAGTCACATTGGGTGTTTTAGGTAATAGAGCTCCAGGAGTTGGATGTTAGGTAGCTTCCTTGCTAGAGTTGGTAGTAAAGTTGATTCATTGGGTCAGAGAGCAGGTATTGTGGTGCCTAGTCTTGTGGGTTTGACCGAGATGAAATAAGGTTTCCCAAAGTCCTTTGTTACAGCGCGTTTACTCACTAGATTGACGCATCTTGGAGTCTTGATCCACAAAACGACGACGGTTATGACACAACCAGGGATAAAATCACTGGGCGTTTGATATGCTAATCCTATATCCTGTTCTCGTTAGTTCCTGGCTTACACTGTCGTTTAGAGATGCAGAGCGAATTTTTCAAGGGGCGCTGATAGCAAAGGTTTTGGGGTCTTTGGATGGAGTGCTGAGGGCAAGGTAGCATGTCATGTTTGTGAAAAATGTGAGTAAGCGAAGGATGACGATGGATGGCTGTGTATGTGAAATTGAATCATGTTGAGGGCTATAGTTACCTTATGTTATTGAACAGTCTTGAGAACAATCAAGTTAAATTGAATGTTGCGTCGTATTCGAATTTTATTTGATAGAGGGGAGATATTGTTTGGAATTTATTTGATTGGAATATCTCTTCAAGGATACTATTTCTAATGAATTTATAGAGCTGGTTCATTCAATCAGGAATATCGAGCCGAATCAAGTAACTCAAGTAAATCAAGTTCTTTACCCTATCTTTGTACTTGATTTAATCTAGCTTAGCAATCAATCAATCAGATCAGTTGCAACTGATTGGGTTGTTCAAAATCCCAAGTCTGTCAGTGAGATCTGAGACCGCTATGTATATAAGAATCTTGATCGTATATAACGCTACAACTATTCTCAATTGCTAAGCTAATCACCGAGCTTATTTCGCTTTCACGAGAGGGTGCGCCTATCTAGTTTTAGTACCCATGCGACAATGTGACCGTAATGCGCTTTTTACTAAAGCAAGGCAAATACATTAGACTAGAGGAGATTTTGAAACTATCACACACTGCTGAAGAGTTTCTCCTAGTAAATGCTGTAATTGAAAGTAGTCAGAGTGGGACTGTTTTACGTCAGCTCGCGTTTCGTTACAGGACTGTGCTAAGATGCAATGAATTTGTATTCCACTACTCGACATTAGTGATGACATAGTAGGTCCGATAATGGCAATTGGGAAGCCTAGGGCTCTTAACTGTCAACAAACTGCTATGAATTGGCACTTCTATTTTGAATTAGAAAACTTGACATCTGCCATATGTTCATGCGTAGGTACACTGTTATCAAACCTTCTTCATAATCTCCCTGCACCGGAGTCCGCTGAAACACTCGCGAAGACAATACGGTGTACAGCAGTAAGCTCCTAAACAGACTTTCAGCACATGCTGGTTTAGATATAAGCGCCGTCACGCCGAGCTCATTTCTGACTCAAGGGCAATCCACCTGACCAGTTGCTAGCCAGATCGCAGCTTCCAATTCCATTTTTCAGAAAGCTTCAATTGTGACTGTTAGTGTATGCCCTCCACCGACAGCTTACCCGTGATGAGCGACGTCGAGCCTTCATATGACCAGGTGAAGGTCTTACCTAATGCAAAACCGGCAAACAGCTCAAATGCCGACCGAAAACTATGAGCAGTGTCCTCATAAGGGCCAGTCTATAGGTCCGTTACCAAAACTGTGATATGTTACTAGCTCGGCTTGTCCTTTTCATGATTCCGGGACTACAAAAATGCAAGTCGTATGCCTGGTTCAATGCACTCCGTATGCATTTACATTACTAAGCAGCGATCTCATGTCGTATCAACAGATGAGGTTTGAACATACTTCTGCTTTCTACCACTACTACATATACATCATATCGCTCACTTAACCTGTCATATACCCATTGGTTACATCTCAGATCGTCATCATGTTTGTGCGTACAGGATGCATATCACCCAGCTCTTTCTAGCAGCTATGCTGGCATATCTTTACTTCGCTCCGAAGTCTTAATAGCATCATATATCTTGCTAATTGCGAATTAGGCTAATGCAAACGAACATGTAAGATGCACTTGCCATAGAGGTCCGGGCGCAACCCTAGATTGCGAGCAAGCCGCATGCACCAACTATCTTTTACACGAGAAAGTCTTCAATGCGGGTTCGTGAACTCCACAAACAGATTATTACAAAACGGTATGGGTAGCAGAGGTACATCGATCCTGTATCCCTTGTATCCAACAGTATGAACTCACCCTACTGTAGCATTTATATTGTGAAGCACGGATCATAGCTACCAATAAACGCTTCTTTGGTCTTGGAGGGAGACTGTAACGAGTGCAACCCTCGTTCCATCTAATACCAGCGCAGTCAACCCAGGCCCAGAGCCGATACCGCCCCGACTCTGGTCCGAGGTTCTCCTGCCTACCCCTCTGCCTCCACATATAAAAGGAGCCTTATACTTATAGATAGATAGACAAGTTCTTCTTGTCCTTTCGTACTAGACCTATAGGTATCGGGATCAATTCGTTCAATCTCCATACAGACGCGCACTCCTATATGCCTTTGAGTCGTATCGGACCCCTTTCGGACGTCCCTCTTACCTGTGTCGTTACAGAGACAGTTCAACGCCGAGTGTTGGAACACTTGCAAAGCTAGTGGAATTTGCTATTCCTATATACCCCCAAATAGTGCTGAGTTAGGGGGTCGCTAAATGTAGCTAGGAACAACGCATGCCGTTGCGATATGGAGGTAAACTACTGGTACTCCTTGCAGACTGCGACCTGCACCATCTATCAAGTAGCCAGTGAATACTTTGATATCCCTTTAACGATGATACTCTAGAGAACAGTTTTAGGATCAGAGTGGATCGATAAGCTTTGAGCTTGATAATTTTCCTAGGTTTGACCTCAAGGAGTAGATGAACTGAGCGTTGATGATAGTATCGACATGTTGTATATATGCCTTCCATTCTCCTAACATGAAGCGTTGGGGTAATATAATTCTGACCTACTTCATGGCGCGCAGAATACATCGTTCCTACAGGCAAAGGCGAGGTAATATTCCAGCCATTTATAGGTATAGACTATATAACAGATTTCAGAAAAATACCACTAGGCACTTTTCCATAGCAAGAATAAGGCGTAAGCAGGCGGACAAAAGAATCAGCAATTTACTCACATATCTCACTCTACGCAGGATATGCTAAGACGCAGATCGACTCCTACTCTACCAAGAAACCAATCAAGCTACGTATAGCCGGTGACTACCAGTTATTACGAGTGGAATTGTATATATGCATATGCATTACCAATACCTGCTTACACGCACACATGACGCCCTCTCCCTTAGTGCTCGGCCAATTGTAGAGCCATTTTTTTCTGTATTTACGAAATCTTGTTCTCTAGTCCTTAAGGGCGCATACTCTGTAAACAATTATATACTAATCTCGCTAGAAGTCATCATAGGGTATACTTCCCAGTACCCACACTAACAAACACATCCATACCTATCCCTAGAAGAACCCACACATCCCACACCACCGCGACATTCCTCCCACAAAGGTACGTACCTATGTAGAGTAAGTATACTCACAAACTCCTCCCACCCACCCCATAAGTCCGCCCGCTATGCGCGAATAAACCGCATGGATAAAACAACCTCGACAAGGAAAAACTAGCCACTACACTACAGGGGGGGGGGGGGCCAAAATACCGCAATATACCCCAATCTGAAAAGGGGTTCCCAGTGTAACCCACAAAAGGGGTAAAAAATTTATGTGCTTAGGTATTGCGGTTACATGTCTGTGACAGTGTGAGCTACTATCCTGCCCTATATTATGCTGTTTTATTATGTGTTTGATCTTACAATATGTGAACTGGGTATGCGTGATGGCGTCATTGCTGCATGTGGTAATAGTAGGGCTATATATGTTGTTGCAAGTGCGCTACATGGCGCATGGCATAGCACCGCGGATTCACCGCGTAAAAGACCAAAGCAAAAAAAAAAAGGGAGGATATATACCATAGTAGGTACTTTACAATATTGTACAAAAATATCCCAACACAAAACCTTACCCAAACACCTACCGGTAAATCGCGGCTTAAGAAACACTGCAGATACTGTGGTGCGATTTTTTTTTAATTAACTTTGCTTCAGCCCTATGTAAACATGCGCACATAGTACTCTAATCCTAGGCTTTACCTAGGGCCTAGATACTGTAGCTCTTTACCTTGTAGTCCTCACCCTACCTCATCTTTCATATTCTACTTCAATCTCCTGAAAAAAACTACATGACCTCCTACTTCCCTCCCCCGCACCCCACCCACACTACAAAGCTGCAATGCACAGCAACATACCCTGTGTGGTATCCTACACCTACCCATCTTGTATCATGTCGCAATCCCGAGGGCGAAACCTTCGGCACCCCAAGTGGAAGTACCGGCGCTTAGCGGTGGACGCACTGGCCCATGTACTACTCCAGGGGGCCACCAGGTCATCGTGTTATCAATTTATGCTTAAGTTTGGGCGGGGTGGGGTAGTTTAGTGTAGTGTAGGGTATTTAGAAACGTAGGGGTGGGTTGGTATTGGTGTTGTTGCTTATGTATAGTGTAGTGATGTATAGTCACAGTGCGGACTGGGTATATCGGCGGGACTTTTGTGTGTACTGGTACGGTACAAGTAGGAACTGGTATGTGTCGCGTGCCTTGCGCCGGAGAAATATGTCGCGGTGTGGAGAAGGGAAATACGAGTGGGCATAAGCATTAGGTAGAATTTTTTGAGTGAAATGCACATGTACCTTTGTACACCACACCATACCACACCACACCACACCACACCGCAACAAGAAACCAAAGCGAGGTCATCACAACAACAACGTCACCGATGCGCGTGAGATCTGACCAAGTGTAAACGTATTGTGCCGTACCAGTGCATCGTGGATAGGGTTTATTTGTGGAACGCATGGAAGCAGCGGTGGATACCTACACCCTGTAACAAGATGTACCTTCCCCATGTGCACGGATGATGAGCGCGGTGTTAATTTTCGATTAACCCGAGGGCTAGGGGTGTAAGAAAAGGGCAACTAAGTGCACAGTATAGTGGGCAGGTAAGACTGAACAAATGTTTGAATCTTCTTCTCTCCGCCTCGTTCCTCACGTCTCGTTGAATGATTTCTTCTCGGTCTTGTATATAGATACGGTGGACCCTTTGCGTATCGGTAGATACTATGTCCCTACGATCATGCGGATCTGTCCATCTGCCTCTTCCGGAAACGGAATCGCATGTGTGCCGATGCAATGCCGAGTCAAGAAAGAGGCTAGGGTGAATTTCTTCCGCCTGGGCGATCTTGAAGAGTCGATATTACGCGGCCCCGGACGGAGTGCGCACAGGGAACAACAGCATACCGTTCCATAGGCAAAAGAACAATTACTGTACTCTAGCACCACGTCCCCCTCCCTAGGTACCTCCCCCCCCCTCACTAGTCATTGAACGTGAGAAATGGGAAGCGTCTTCTTGGCGAGTCCTGTTCGAAACGAAGAATTTACTAGCCTTGGCATGGCTTGAGTGTGGCCAGCGCCAATGGTGTTGGCGAACACGGGCCTTTGCGTCTTAGCTGAGACGCCAGGCGAGCATGCCCGCATGTTTCTGAATCTGCGATGGGAATGCCGAACTAGATAGCCTTACTGTCTTGGGCAGCTTCTAACGAGCATCTACTATTGCCATGTGATGATTGGACAAGATGAGTCGTAAGTCGCAGGAAAACAGCTCTGCTGCTGCTGCCTGGTAGCTATGATGTGAACCGTCTCTGTCGCTTTTGTTACGGTCCGAGAGTATAGGCATGGCCCAGGCAGACAAGTACCATAGGGCCGTAAGCGGAAGGTCGCGGATGCCACAAGATGGCAGCATTGCAGGGTCCAAGCTGCAAGAAAGTGTCGCGGCATCTCCCTGTCCAGCTGTTTTCCCGCGGCGGGATTGCGACGGCCCTAGAGGTAATACCGTCAGCGTGGGTAGCTCGGATCCTGGTGGGACAATGTAAGCTTAACCCGCAGACACCAAGCTTAATCAATCTCACAAGCCGAGCGTGCAAGCGAATGGCTGAGAAGGAACGACAGCTCGATTACGTTACGGTGGAGCCGAGCGGATCTTGTCCAAGCAATTAGAAGCGCATACGTTCTTGGTTAGCGGACGCGAGAGCTTCCCACATTGCAGGTTGGTACGTAGATGTAGGTGTGCCAGGATGGCTGCTAAGGCTTGGTGTGATGGACAGGCTGACGCAGACGGCGTGTTTGCTATGGATCCCCCGCGTTTGGGAGATGGGAGACACGAATGAGGCTGTGTCGCAGTATTTCTTGGGCCCATCGCTAGAATGTTGGGTAGCACGGATGAGGACGATGGTGGTGGGGAGGAGGGGGATCGAGCCCCTGTCTGAGGGCAATGAGGGTAGCGGAACCGTGCTGCATGCCCAGAAGTCTTTGTCCGTCTCCCCAAGACATGCCCAGAAGTCTTTGTCCGTCTCCCCAAGACATGCCTAGAGGCAGAGCTGGGTGTGTGCCACGCCATGGAAGCCATGGGGCGCAGCAGCCAAGAGAGCCGTCTCTGCAATGAGAGATGGCATGGGGCCGATGCGCCGGCTGGGCCAGTCTTGGGTTCAGATGAAGAAGGAATCCAGCAGCGGCTGTTGGGTCATAGGCAGTATCGCGGCAGGCCTGCAAGCGGCCGCCCAAGCAAGTATCACACGACCGACGGATTTGACGGGCAAAAAAGAGACACACCGCGACGGCTTGGGAGGTATCAGAACTGGGGTCGAGTGGGCCCGCACATACGATCGAAGGCTTGTCGAGAATAAAGATTGGGTTTAAGATGGCTAGTGTTGTTTAGAGTTATTCGGCGACCAAAGCTTGGCCGATTGAGCGCCAAATTCACTGGATGACGGCGGCGGACTGGGCATCGTGCATCGTAGGTTGTAGAGCACGGTAGGTAGTAGAAGAGGTTGTTGTCGCCCTTGGTGTGCCATGGAAGGGGGGCTTCTCTTTTTCTTTTTCTTTCTTTTTTTTTTGAGTTGCAGTGAGGCTGTTGTTGTGGTTGGGTATTTTTTTTTCGCACTGTAGCGTGTTTGTAGTCTTTTTGTTGTTCCTTTCTTCTTTCGTAGGTATTTTTGATTTCCTTTTTTTCTGTCTGATTACGGTACGGTACGGGTAGGCCGGTAAGGTGATATCAGCAGGGCCGTGTACCGTGTCCATCAGTCTTAAGTATGTACCACACAGCAGGTAGGGGAAGGCAAGGCGCGCCGAGGATTGTAATCATGCCTAGGGTCACACGGTGTTCCGAAGTCAGCGCCAAAAGAGCAGTGCTTTCCATGGAATCCAGTCAACGGCGGCCGAAGAAAGCTTGTCCCGGCTGCTTGTGGGCCTTATTTCGCTATGCAGAACGCCACTCCAGGTCTGGGCAGCGATCAAGAAAGCATCACCCCCCGCCCCCCCCCAGACCGCCGAGAAAGGGCCAAAGACAGAGTCCACTTTCGTGTCCTGGACGGGTTGACGGGCTTGTGTTAGTGAGGAGAGATTCATTACTTAGAAGCAGACGATCGCTGTTGCCTTTTTTGAAAAGAAAAAAAAAAGGGTTTCGCTGCTCGCTCCTTCCCTTTGGACCACCTGACCTGACTGGACCTTTGCTTCACCACTCACACACACCCCAGCCCTTGTTCACACACACTCACACACTCACACACATACACACACACTTACACACTCACACTCACACACTCACACACATACACACACACACTCACACACATACACACACACAAATACACATCCACACACACACCCCTACAACATTCACCTTCATGCCCACACCCACACCCACACATACAACCAACACACACACCCAATCCATCGCCCTCTCTCTCTAGGGCAACCCCATATCGACGCCTTGTTGTTTCCACCCACCCACCGCCCTCTCAGCTCGACTCACCGCACCCTACCTACCCACCCACCATAACTAGGCATCTGCGTCTCTCAAACCACCTCGTCACATCCACAGCGCCTACCGTAAGTCTACTTTTCTTTTCCCTGCTTCTCCAGGCCCCCAATTCCATGATTTTACCACGTGCGCCCCGTCCTATCTGGCGACTCCTCTTTACCATGGTAGATGATGGAGCTGCGACGAGCTCTACGTCAGGTCAGGGTCAAGCCTTGGACTTGCGTGTGTGCCGAAAATGCCCTGCATAAGACGACACGACAGTGTTGTACCATGTACCAGAGTCGCCCAAACGCTAATAATCCTCCCATCCAGACACCTAATGAAGGTGTAATCAGACAGCACCGAAACCTCGCCCTTCAAGAGTGCTGCTAGGTTACCACTTTCACCACCACCACCACCACCACCACCATCTCCTCCTCCCGCCATACATTCACCATCACAATGGAAACCTACCACGGCCACGTACGCACGCCCAATGACGCCATCATACTGTTCGAGGCCTGCCGCATCGGTATATTGCCCCGAGTGCAGCGTCGCCTCTCGGAAAAGGAGCGCCAGCAAATCAAGTCCGGCTCGGTGTTTGTCTGGGATGAGCGCGAGGCGGGCATGCGGCGGTGGACAGACGGCAAGTCGTGGAGTGCGAGTCGCGTCTCGGGCAGCTTCCTCACCTACCGAGAGATGGAAGGCAAGCGCGGCGGCAGCGCAGTGCCCACGGCGCCCGTCGCAAAGAGGGCGAGTGGAAAGTCGCCTGATGGCTCATCCAACGGTGATTCGGAAGGCGAGGGGCCCGATGGCTATCGCTACAAACCCGACGGTCTGATGAAGCAGTCTTTCAGCATCACCACGTCCAGCGGCCAGCACCTCCACCTCATCAGCTACTACTCGCGCTCGAATTCAAACAACCTCACTCAGCCGACCAACGACGCCCAACTGCGACACATTCGCCCCCCAAAGAACATGTACCCAGAGTCAACCGTCAACGAAGCCCAGGCGGTCACGGCCGTCACTCGTGGGCCCATGCCTGGCTCACCATACAGCGCAGCAGCCCATAGCATGGGCCCAGCGTCACCATACACACGCGCTGGCCCCGTTGCGCCCATGTACGCCGTGCCCGTATATCCACCCACACCGCCAAACGGCACGCCTCCTATGCATTACTATGCCCAACACCCGTACTTCTACCCAGGTGTCATCTACGCTCAGCCACCCTACCATGCACAGCCGGGCCACGTTTTTGACCGCGCCCCTCCCCAAATGCACCATGCCCATGCGCCACCTGGTCACCACCCCATGCTCATGCAGCACCCTGCCTACGCGCACGCTGCGCACGCCGCCCAGCAGTACATGGCTGCTACCCCTCCAGCACGCACACCGTCTACCACTGAACAAGGACACCACCCACATACTGCTACTGTCGCGCCTCCAGCGCCCGTTGCCTCCCTCCCCGAGCAAGGGCCCCAACTGCCGGCCATCAATGGCATCGCGCCTCTGACTGGAGCCGGTGCCAACAACGCGAACAAGCCACCGACTCCTGAGCCTTCCGAGAAGACACCCTCTCAAGCGCCCGAGTCCAACCCGCCCGTAATCTCGCGCCCTCTTCCCACCCTGGGCTCGCTGCTCAACTGCGATGGGCCAGACAAGGAGCCACAATGCAACACCAGCCGTTCTGGTAGCCGAAGCCCAAACACGGCATCTAGATTCCCTCGCGATCTCGCACCAGAGAGACTTGCGAAGAACAGCTCTGCGGCAGACAGTAGTGCATTGAACAAGCTGAACAGTGTATTTGTCCGATCATAGTATCGGCCTGGTCTGGTTTCCAGCCACTTTTTACTTCTTCTTCATCATCTTTCACGAGTACAGTAGCCAACTTTCTCCTCGCTTCCAAAAATGGGTGTGGCAAGGGAAATGGGCTCTAGCATTTACGATTTGCATCAGGTGGCGTTTTTTTCTTCTGGGGGGCTAATGTCACCCATCACCGACTCTTTGCGGTGTTGCTCGGGCGTTATGGAAATGTGGAATGGGAATGCTGGCAATCGGCAGGGAGTTTAGTTTTTTCCTTGTGCGATGGGTGTGTTTTTGTATGTGTGCAGTTGGGCAGCCGCCCTCGTCAGTTGAGCACTGCTTGTGTGCTTTGATGGTGTTTTTGAGATGAAAAAGAAATCAAGGTAGTCTTCCATCTCCATCTTGACTTGTTTCTCGTGCTTTGTGTTCAGTGTGCATACGTAAGTGTGAAGATTACGCTGGTGAGTTGGCGCCGAGTCGTTGTGTGCGAGGATTCCTACCTGGGTACCGGTATGTCATGGTGGACTTACCTAGGCCAAAGAGGAAGCTAGTCAACTTTATGCTTAACGTTATCTTGACAACAACACAACCACGGCAACGACAGCAACGACCATGACGTGAAGGTATATTGGTCAAGCACGAGGACATGTTCATTTTTTTTTTCGCAGTGGTTGTGGATAGTCGAAGGGGGATCTTTGGGGATGGTGGAGTGGGGTGGATGGGGAGTTTGCGGGAAAGGCTGGTGGGGGCGTGTTGGGATGCACTGGTCTTGCAGATGGTTGTCGAGTACCGAGTACTTACCGGTAGTGTTTCAAGATGAATGTCAAGTATGGCTGATATCACTCATATCCCATTGCGCCTTCTATCCTGCCAGATCTGTCTTATTGCTGTGCTTCTTGATTCCATCCCAGAAATCCGCACTCCACCCCACCTTCCCAATCCAGCCCCCCTCTACTCCTTGAACCCGCGGAACAATCAATCGCAGTTGCCCTTGCCCTTTGTAATTGGAAGTCTTGTAAGTTTATTTGCGATCTTGTGGCTACTTATTCTCCCACTCCCCCCCCCTGTCGAAGAGTCAACGAGTTCACCACAGCATCATTTGCTGCTCCTGCAGCCCGCGAATTGTTAACAGCGGCATACATCACTTTCCATATCCCTTTCGAAACATTCTTCCTTGCCTTGAACCCTACATTCGACAAAAAGCAAAACTAGCCATCCCATGCTCCTCCCCCCTCTCCTTCACAATCGTTGATGCGAATAACCTCACAACCTACCCAAACTAAACACACTCGCTTGAAAAACCTCCCCCGTCCTACATACATTTCTAACCGCAGAACACGCCTACAACCCCACCCTCGACCTTTCCCACCACTCCCTCTACACTCTCACCCTCACACACAAAACACTTCACTCCTCCCCGGTGTCTCGCGCCCTCCTCACTCCATCAAAACGCGTACATCACGCATATTCAGATCTCGCACCCCGGCCGAGAAGACGCTGGACCGTGCGAGAAGCAAATTGCACAGGTTGGAGCGGCGGCAGGGCACGGCGGAGCAGAAGGGCAGGCTTTGGGTGAGGAGGAAGGCGGTGGAGAGGAGAGTGAGGAGGGTGCAGAGCAGGGTTGAGAGGGTTGTTAGTGGGAGGTTTTGAGGGATCCGGGGGGCTGGGTAAGACGACGACAGAGATTGGTGTGGAACTGTACTGCTTTGCTGTGGTCGCGACATCATCATCATCATCGAAGTATTCGAGCCTTGGTCCATAACGTTGAATCATTCGAGCTTTCGAATCCATAACTTCGGCTGTTCAATCGACTGTCAACAACCAACATCACCCCGTACATGTCCGGTGCTTCAGTCGCCACTTGCAGCCCAACTCCAAACGCTGCTTTTTCGACAGCTCCACTAGCACCAGCACAAAAGGCCGTGGACGAAGCTCGCCAGCAACAAAGACGTGCTCGTCGACTGGCAGACAAGAAAGCCAAAACGGCCGAAAAAGTCGCGCACAAGCTGATCAAGGCAAATCGTTCACCCGAACAGATTCAACTGGACAAGGCCGCGAAAAAGGTTGAGAGAAAGGCCAAGAGGGTGCGGGTGGTTGGCAAAGTCAAGTACAAAGTCGCTACTCTTGCATTGGGCAGATTTTAAAGTTCGGTGCGAATACGGGTTGTATGGAAGATTGTGGTGGTGGCAGTGCTGGCGGTGACTGTGGAGGTGGTGACCACGGAGGTGATCACGGAGGTGGTGACTGCGGGAGCGGCGATTTCAGTTACATTGCTCCGCCTGCTTTTCATTCGACTGGTAAGAAGTCTATCGGCAGGCCAAGCCATAGGCAAAAAGGTCAGCACTCTGAATGATAAGACCGTCCGCCAACAAGACTAACATGCTACAGCAAACGTCTCCCACGACACACGCAAAGCCCGCAGGCAGAAGTGGTAGCACCGCCGAAAGAAGAAGGCACGCCGGTTCATGCGCAAGATTCAACATAAACTTTTGCTCTAAAGTCCTCAAATGCCATCGCGATCGCCCAGTGGTGCCCAGGATCGGCGAGAAGAAGACTTCAGTCGCTGGCCCGGCGTGTCCGTCAACTCGGGCACATTCGTATCGGCCGCAGACCGCCCCAGAGACCCAGAGACTTGGGAAAGGTATCGGGACCGACTTGGAAGGTGGAGAGAGCATGCCAGGGCGAAGAGACGGCAGTCACGGGATCCTCCTCCAGCCCTCACATCGCCCAGTGCTCAGCCTCATGGCCTACACCGGTACCGGTACTTTCGGTCGTGGTGCAGATCGAAATGCGCAAGGCCACCCTCCTTACCATGCAAGATTCGATTGCCATGTGCAGGTGTACGCACCGACAGTGATCTACGTGAACGAGGCTGAGCGGTCTCCCAAGACGTCGCGAGCCGCGAGAGAGACCGAGTCAGACGCCTCGTTGACCTTGGACGTATCAGATACACATCATGCCCAGATCGAGCCAATATCTGACGGGAAGAGAGCAACGACGCTCGTATGGCTTATTGGCCGGCTTCAGAGGATACTCCGAAGAGTCTCCCTCCAATACCCCCTATGAGATTGATAGATGGTATGCTGTGAAGGTGGGCCCACAAACAAAGGTTGCGAGGGAATGCCTAGGCCGACAATAGCCCGTATAGTATCGCACTGATGTCGAAGGGCGACCGACTGGAATAAAGTTAAGCGGCATGGCGATCTTGGTGTTGGTGTCAACCACGTCTCCGAGAAGTCAAGCATTGAAGGATTGACGTCGTCGAGTGGATCCACAATTACCAGCGACTGACCCCTGTTTGGAATTGCGCACAGACCACCGGCAGTTGTGCGTCGCGTCCGGACTGCGTTGCGTCACACCCTACAACATGTTCACCCAAACACCACGACACATGTTCACGGTGGTGTCGAAGAGACCGTACGTATGTCGGGCATGTCTACAACGGACTCAGCGGGTCCAATTGGCCCATCTGCCTCTTCCCTCGCGAACTCTGACACGCACTCTGCACAATGAAAGCCAGCCTGCCCGTGATGAGACATCATTCCGCAAGGCGCTCAAAGAAGCTACGAAACAACAAAGGAAGCAGAAGAAAAACTCAAAGTTGTCCAAGAATTCCCAAGACCCCAGGCTGGAGAAGTGGGAGCTGACCGTCGGTATCGAAATCCATGCGGAGCTCAACACTGCACGCAAACTCTTCTCGCGCGCTGCCACGTCCATCAGCGAAGCACCCAATACCCATGTATCCCTGTTTGATGTCGCATTTCCTGGAAGCCAGCCAATCTTTCAAAAGGAAACTCTTATTCCTGCACTACGCGCGGCCATAGCCTTTGGCTGTGAGATCCAACCAAAGAGCAGCTTCGACCGCAAGCACTACTTCTACCAAGACCAGCCAGCTGGCTATCAAATCACCCAATACTACGAGCCCTTTGCGACCAATGGCAAGCTTTCCCTCTATCCCCATGACTTCCCCGCTGGTGCTGCGCCTCAATCGGATCCCATCGAGATTGGCATCAAGCAGATACAGATGGAGCAAGATACCGCCAAGACCGTACAGCAACCGCCGTCGACCCACCTACTCGATTTCAACCGCGTGTCTCACCCCCTCATCGAGATTATCACTCTTCCTCAAATCCACGACCCTCTTGTCGCGGCTGTTGCCGTACGCAAGATACAAGCCATACTCAAGTCGGTCAATGCTTGTACCACTGGCATGGAACTTGGTGGGCTGCGCGCCGATGTCAATGTGTCTGTCCGAGAGCGCGGCAAGATGTCATCGAACGATGTGGCTTCTTATGCCGGTGTCACTGGTCTTGGCCAGCGGACTGAAATCAAGAACTTGGCCAGCGTCAAGGCAGTGGAGGACGCCATCGTTGCCGAGCGGGATCGCCAAATTGATCTCCTCGAAGTCGGAGGTGTTGTCGAAGGCGAAACGCGCGGATGGACACTTGGAAGCAAGACGACCAAGCGACTAAGAGGCAAGGAAGGCGAGATAGACTACCGCTACATGCCTGACCCGGATATCCCGCCAGTCATTATCGGACAAGTAGGTTTTCTGCTTGGTTTTCTTTACCCACGTCATACCGTGCTGACATGTCTTAGGATCTGGTGGCGCATCTCCAAGAGACATTGCCCCGATTGCCCGACTCGGCGCTCACACTTCATGTGCAAGACTTTGGACTGACGACCAAGGATGCTGCGACACTCTTGGCTCTTGACGATGGCGATCGCCTTGAGTACTTCCGCCACGTTGTTGACGATCTGCAAGTCAAGAGCGCGGGCGATCTCGCGGAGCTTGGCAGAATTGCGGGTAACTGGTACGTTAGCGCTTAGTTTGCAGGCTTTTTTTGGCATCATTGGTCCCAGAACCAGGCTGACTCATCATCCTCAGGGTCCTCATGGAACTTGGAGGTCTCTTTCAAGACGAGCCTTGGGACGCGGCGCGGGTGCCTCACGGCAGCCTGGCGGATATCATTGCACGCGTGCGCAACAAGAGCATCACGTCGCGCTCTGGTAAACGCATTCTCGCCATGGTGTTTGAAGGGGATGCGCGCTCTGTGCAGGAAATTGTCGACGAGGAGAATTTGGCGTTGACGCCGCTGAGCGAGGAAGAGTATATGGCTCTTGCGCGCGCTGTGCTGGATGGCAAGCCGGACATGGTTCGCGATATCCAGGAGAAGGGCCAGACGAAGAAGATTTCATATTTTGTGGGACAGATGATGGCGAGGAGTGCGGAGGGGAGCGTGGAGCCTGATCGTGCGGAGAAGACGTTAAGGGTGGTTTTGGGGCTGGGGTCGGGAGAGTAGAGATGGGGAAGTAGTTTGAGCAGTGTGTTGTATATTCTACCCCTTTTTCTCTCGTATACATACTATTGCATCAGACAAGGATTACTGAAACTCCTCCCAGTGATGTATTTCGCCTTGATAACCATGATGTGTTTATCGCTAGTCCGTTGTTTTGGAAATCATGAATACAACTGTGTCACTGAGCTGCACCGTACCAAACTACACAGACGTCTCCCGTCTACGAAAAAAGCCAAACATGCAAATCCAACACTACCATTACAGTACATGCATGTGTGCATGGCATTAGCTCCCTAAGAGTACCTTCGCTACCAGTTTATCAAAGTGCATGCACACACGCATACATAACACGAGTTGAGAAATGCAATATTCATCATTTGGATACTGTGGCTTTTCCAAGGGGAATTGGAGGGAGGTTTTGTATATGCTGCTAACCGTTAATGACTTTCTTCCTTTTAATCATACACTCTTTTTTTCTCTTCCTTCAAGCCCCGCTGTATACTACTCCTACTGGGGAGACGAGTATCGAAGAAGGTGCCATACTCGACGTCCTCCTACGCCGGGAAGAGGTAGGTCAAGTATAAAGTACACCTCGCATCACGACACAAGACACCACTCGACATCCATACACAGGAACCCTCGACTTTCAGTACCCGCCCACGTTATCTCCCAGGATAAATCAGCACGTCCGGTACATTTTGGAGATTATCCACAATGGCCCGGTTGGACGAATCACGGGACAAAACTCCGACGCCAAACCTGACGCCTCGTCTGGGTCTAACACGGGGCCGGGAGACGAGTCAGCATCACAATGAGCGCCATCATCACGACCATGAGCAAGATTCCCGTGCCACGAAAACACAATCCTCACAACTTCGCCACCATTTCGTTGCGCTCCAGCGCAAGACGGCGACGCTGAAGACGAAAGTTTGCGGGGGGGTGGATAGGGTGCGGGCTAGTTTGAAGGGGGAAGTGCGGTATGGAGAGGTGAGGAGTGTGGGATGGGGTGGGGTGGTGAATGGATGTGGAGTTGAGGTTGGGGATGGTGTTGGAGAGGGACATGGGGTGGGGAGGGGGGAGAATGTGGATGGAGATGGTAGACCTAGGGATGAGGAGAGTGATGTAGAGGTTACAACAGAGGTGATTGTTAGTGTGGGGGCTGAGGGAAGCGGTAAGACAAGAGAGAAGAGAGTGGGGACAGGGAGGGAAGGTGACAAAGGGAAGCGAAAAGAGAGGATAAAATGCGATGAAAAAGCTTATGTAGGCTATCACTCGCTTCATTCCAGAAGCATGAGGAAAGCAAAACTATACGAAGCGGAGAGGAAGTACACCATTACACGGGAAGAACAGATCGCAAAACCCTTTCAAACGGTGAGTCAACTCAACCCCCTTTCCCCTTCAGCTTACATCTCCAAAACAAAACAAACCAAAGACTCACAACCGCACAGAACGACTCCGCATACGCCAGCCGCAGTCCCTCTGAACCAACACCCACCCCCTCCCTCCAAGAACCCAACACAGCACCCGCACCGAACCAAGAGTCCGTCCCACCCCAGACCCACCACCCAAATCGCAAGGAAGAAGATGATGAAGTCTCAGCAGCAATTGAATACCCACCCTCCCATCCACTATACGGAATACCACTCCAACAACACTCTGACTACTTCAACGCGCTCTCCACGTATACGCTTTCGCCGCGGGCCTCGGGGGCTGCTCTGCACAGCGAGACTTCGTTTGGGAGTGGAGGGGCTGTGGCGGTGAGGAGGAGTGATGGGGATATGGTGAGTGCGTTTCGGGCTACGTTGACAGTGAGTCAGCAGCGGTTTGCTGATCAAGGGGGTGAGGAGGGTGGCATTGGAGAGGAGGGGGTGTGGGGGTGTAGGGGTGAGCGTGGAGGTGGAGGTTTCGGACCTGGGGTAATGGGGGAAGTGGATAAAAAGGAGATGTCTATATTGAAAAATTTAGGGAGGAAGTGTGGTTGGAGCAGGAATCTCCCGCACGCTGTCGATGGACGACAACACGACAACGAGCGAGAGAATTCCAGGCTAACAAATTTTCATTCACCGGCTTCTATCCTCGAGCCGGATTGTTCTCTTCAGGACTCGCATACACCCATCCATCAACCTACGAAAACGAAGCAGATACCTCGCCCGCCTTCCACCAACTCACCGAACAACCAACTCCTTCCTACCTCATACCCTTCCAACACCACCACCAGCACCAACAACAATCCCGCCACCGAAATCCTCCTCACCGACGTCCTACGCACCCTCACAAACGCGCGCCGCTTCCTCCAAGGAATCGTCCAACTCGGTGAGCACGATACTCAAGAGGCTATGCAAAACAGCGAAGACGCTGATGCTGTTGTGCGGAAATCTTCGGCGGAGAGTTCCTCACGCTGCGGTTTACAATCTTGTGGGGATAGGGGGTTGGATTGGGGGGCGGGTGAGGATGGAAGTAGGGGTGAGGGTATGGGGAAGGGGAAGGGGAAGATTGTTGTTGATGAGACTGCTGTATCAGTACGGGGACGAGGGGAAGAGCAGCAACAACAAGAACAGGAGCAGCAGCAGCGGCCGCAAGAACAGCAACAGCAACGTCGATACCGCTACAACGCCCCCCACCCCTCCTTCTCAACACCCTTCGCATACACCCACCGTCCACCCCAGCAACCCCAGCGATCCTTCAACCCTCCTCATCAGCCAGACGCCCACGCCCAATTCCCCTCTCATCACCACCACAACTTCCCCACCAATCTCACTCCTTCCCACACAGAACAATCCTTCCCCTCGACCGGCAAAACCCAACCCCCCAATCACCCTCACACCCCCCCAACACTTCAACCTCGCCTCCCCACCCGCGATAAACCCACCACCCCCCACCCCATCAGGCAACCAGCCCGCACGCGCGAGTTCCAGCACAAACCGCAGTACACAAACACCCGTGGTGTCCAGAGCCCGCGGCATGAGCGGTTTTCGTTTTCTGGCGATGTGATTGAGCAGGGACATGAGCGCGTGGAGCGAGGACAGCAAGTCTGGTACAGTAACCATTCACAACGACGACAAAGAGATACAAACTCCAGCCTAGACTTGGATTTGGAACTACGACGAGAGCGGGCGTATGTATGTGGACGAGGGGCTCGTGGGGGAGATTCCCGCGAGAAAGAGGAAGATTATTTTGCACGGCATCAGAGCGTTGGGGCGGGGAATCTTATGTGGAGGGATGTTTGATGTGGGGGGGTTGGGAGATGGGTGGGTGGTGTGTGGTTTCTGGTGTGGGATATCTAGTGTCTGCTGCGTTGGCTTTGATATCTACCTTGTCTGTAAAATTTAGTAATGAGTGTTTAATGTCTATTGTTCAGACTCTACAGTCTAATCTCTTATTTGACTATTACCATCTCCCGTCTGCGATTTACCAGATTACAAGTGACCACTTATATTCTCACTACTCCTATTCCTTATCCTTCGCTACTTTCAATCCTCAACGTACTATTAATCTCCCGCCTATCTCCCTCGATTATACTTTCCCCTACCAACCCTCTACTAACACCTCCAACCCCGACTTGACTATGCTAACACTATCCTGCTATATAACTAACGAACAGGTGAGGAGTTTAAGACTAGGTAAATTGTTATGTGTGTGATAAACTGTCCTTGTGTCCTTATATGCTTAAGTCCTTTGGTCCTTATGCCCTTGTATTGTCGCAGTGTACGAATGAGACAGATACAGGACAGAAAACCAGATATCTATGCAGGAAAGAAACAGTACTCGTAGAGAAAAGAACCAAATCCCCATACAGAAAAACAATGAAGAATTCACAGAGGGATATTGGCAGACTTAGAATGCATGAACGAGTATAGACACACACACACAAAACCCGCCCTCTTCGTATCAAGCACGCACAGTCCAAGGTATCAAAACAGAAAAGGCAAGTATATTGCATATTTTCGTGCCAATCTCATTACAATACCGGCCATCTGTCTGGTTCATGCATGCATGTATCCACCCAGACACCTTCCTACATCCCACCCGCCTTTCCTTTCCCCCTCAACTCTCCACCCAAGCTCCCACCAACGCAACCATCCTCTTCCACCACTCCACACCAAACCAATTCAATCCCGCACCAAACGAACCCTCATCTCAAAAACATTATCCCCCCAAACCCTCGACCTGTCAAAGAAAAGGAAAAACCAAAACAAGTCAAAGCCAAAGCCGAAGCCAAAGCCAAAGCCAAAACAAAAACAAGCCCAGGTTCTGACACAAACCCCCCAGCTGATACCCGCGTATTCAGGCGCAGAGATAGCTGGTGGGGTGGGCGTGTGAGAAAGAGGAAACAAGGTATGCGATATGTGATGATTTTATTCAAAGGGGGTTAGGGGTTGGGCGTATACACATTGAGACGAATAGGTGGTGGGTGTGGTGCGTAAAAAAGAATAATTGTATGCGTGAATTGTCAATGTCAAAACCTCCAGACTCGTTTGAGACGCAAAGGGGTGGGACAAGACAACCACACGGACGAAGAATACTTCAAATATAGTAGCGAAAGTTGCACAGTGCAATGTGACCGATCTTAGACTGCAAAAAAAACAGGTTTGGGAAAATGAACGATGGGAGAGAGAAAAGGGGGTATAAAGAAAACTGCTGGAAACTTTTTCTCGTTAAAGTGCCACACGTACATATGAGCAGCTCACAACTCTGCTCAACGTACTGCCAACCATTTCCAGCGCACGACTTAAATGGCCATACCAGGCACCGGCTTGCGATTCACAACCGGTGGCGAATTAGGATTTCCTGCGTTTGGATTCATCGGGCTCATGCCTGGCGCCGGCCCCCTCCTTGCACCAACCTCGCTCGCAGAGTTACTCCTCGGTCGACCATCCATCTGCGGCGGTGGCGCCATCGGGCCATTGCTGTTGGAGCGCTGGCGAGGCTGACTAAACTGTGGATTCGGCGAATTGCTGTTGGATCGTCCGCGAGGGCCCTGTTGCGCAAAGTGCTGGGCTGGCATCTGGTTTTGCATTTGCATCTGACGGGGTCCTGGAGAGTTGCGTCCACTGGGTGGATGGGGCGAGTTACGGCCGCTGCCTGGAGACAGGGGACGGGGTTGAGGAACACCGCCAGGACCCATTGGTGAGCGCATGGGTGGACCGCGCATACCTGGTGGAGAACCTTGACGAGGAGGACCGGTGCGGGGTTTGACAGGGTACTTGGAAAGGCAGGTTCGTGGGACTACACCCTGTTGCGAGCGGTCTAAGCGAATACAGAGAGCCTGTCGTAGTGTTAGTGTACAGCAGCGCAACAACAAGAGAGAGCAGACTTACCCAGCCATCATCATACTCATGGAGCATGCGGACCAGTTGACCAGCGCGGAGGTCAAGTTCATCTTGCATCGAAGGCGTAAAGTCAAGCTGCACACGGTGGACATTGTCGGGACCAGGGCCGGGGCTCTGAGGACGACCGCCAGCCATGACGCCTGCGACAGGGAGAGCGCCAGTTGGGGCTGGTCCAGGTGACGCAGGCAAGTCTTCGGTCCAGGCTGGGTTTGGCGGGGCAGTCGATCCATTGCCAGGTTTTGGAGGTGGGACAGGGAGCTCGTTTGGTGGCGAAGACGCTGGTCCTGCGCTCAACTCTGCGGTAGCAATCGCAAGACCTGGATTGGCAAAGTCCTTGCTCGATTGTGTAGATTGCAATGTAGATTGCAATGGCGACTGATTCGGCGGCGAGTCAGGGATACTGGTATGGCTAGCATCGACAGCGGCGCTATTACCGAAAGGATTCGCAGAAGGCGGCCCAGAGCGAGATTCAGGGTCGTTGAATGGGTTGGCAGAGGGAGCATTGGAGGCCCCTGGACGTTCCCAGGAGCTGGTAGGACGTTCGTCCGATGGACCGCGGTGGTGTGCTTGAGCGGTAACACCCCCAGCGGCTGCAATATTGAGGTTGCCTCCGCTCTTGCTCTGGTCGTTGAAGGTCGGGTCGAATTGAGTGACAGGGCGCAAACTCAGACGTGGCGCCGTGGACGCTGTGCGATTAGTGCGGATGCTGGGCGCAGACGCGACGTGAATCTGAGGTGGCGGGGGAACAGCCTTGTTGAGGTCAATCTTTTCGTTCCCAGCCTGAGCAGCGGCCATTTGCTTCTTCCTGCGACGGTAGAGGAGAAGGATGCCGGTGAGTATGGCGCAGAATGCAACCAAAAGCCCCAAAGCAAGTCCAGCTTTTGCACCTCCAGACATGCCCTCTTCCGCGGCATCAGCTGCTGCAGAGGCAGTAGCAGATACAGCGGCAGTGACAGACGCGATACCTGCAGTTGCGGTAGAGGCGGCACTAGGTATCGGCACTTGGGTTGCAACCATGATAGAATCCGTGGCAGACGCCTGCTTGAGAGAGGTTGGCTCCGTCTCCTCTGCATCACTGTCGGTGCTTGTTGTAGAGATGCGTTCATAGGTCGTAGATGAGGGTTTCCTCGCCCTTGATGTTGATACGCCATGCTTGGTACTTGTGGGCGCTCTGGTGGGCCGTTCATCCTCGTTCTCCTTGGTCTTGGTGGTTGCGCTCGATAAGCTGGGAGGTGGGCGTGAGCGTACGACAGGTGGAATCAGCGTGTAGAGACGGGTGCTATCATCATTGGACGGCATGGACGACCTGGAGTCGTCCGAGTCTTCGTCGGGATCCTCCTGAAAGCGTTGTCGGCGCACGATATGTGCATGTGCATGTTGGTGCGCCATGGCGAGTTCTGTCGTGGGGGGTTGCAAGATCAGTCCTCAATGGGTGAAAATATGTCGCAGTCGTTTGTCGGCGCGACAGGTAGGCAAGTCCTCGTGTTGATAACCACAGCAATGCTCAGGCCACTTCCTCTTCACAAATTACAAGGTCAATGATTGATAGTGGCGCAGATTACGTAGTGCGCGCAAACGGGTCTGTTGGATATTTACTCGAGTGGCTCAAGGGAGGCCAGCGTACTACGAGGAATGTGGTGAGGATAGCTGGAGTGGCCAATTCGTGGGCAACTGGCAGCGGAATGTGGTAAGTATTGTGGGGGTCGCAGACCAAGGCGGTAGAAGCAAAGAGTGTAAGTAGTATTTGGTAGAGAAGGATTGGAATTACGACTGGTCGCGCTCGATGAAAGAAGGGCGAACGACGGCCTGGTCGCGGACAATGGGTAGAATTAGACAGTAGAGGAGGAATTAGAGGCCTGAGTGGCAGAGGTGAAGGTAAGAAGTGACACGAAGGAGGGCCTGAGATCAAGGGAAACACGGGCTGAAGGGCGCGAAACATGGCCGTACCTGGCCAACCACGGCTCTGTCTATCACGACGCTAGCAAATCTAGCCTGAGCTGGCGGCCAGGCACGCGATGATGTTGATTGGGCTTCTCATCTTAATTTCCTGGGGGGGGCAGAGGCGGCGTCGGCTCTCGGCGCTCGTGCTATTTTCCACTCTCAGCCCTGACGTTCGTTGATGGTTTGTTTGCACGAGGGCGGGCGGCGCAAACACACCACCCCTTATCGAAGCTGAGGTATCAGCCGATCGAGTGTCTGAGATGGCGACAAGGCCCGTGGTGTTCACTGCCCACGACGTCTCTGGCCAAAGCGCCTCGTTCTTTTTATTTCCCTCTTCAGTGAGATCTTCTCCGCATGTTTGGGACCAGAGCTGTGTGGTTGTGGCTGAGGCATTAGCCATTACCGTACCAGTACAACAACGTACCTACCAACGCGACCGCATTCCACTCCATCCATCAGAGAGCGTTGATGCCAACGCACGACCCAAGAGCGCTCAGCGTCAAACAGAGTGACGTGCTATACCAGTCTCGTGGCAAGACCTACAGTGCCGGTAATTACGTGCAGCCGTCCAAGGCGAAAGCATGCTGCCGTGCCAGTCTGCCAGTTGCTCTTCTCAGCCAGTCGTTGTCGAGTCGCAATTTCGGGTCATGGTCGCGTAGGTAGCTTGGACAACGCGACAGGGTTGTAGAGATGGACTGTTAATGGTGTATGTTAGTCGCTCTTTTACATCATACAAGCCACCCACCTCAATTGATGCATGTGTAGTTTGTGGTTGCAGGAGGGAGAGAGTTTGCCGTCGTTCGAAATAGAGTACATAGGTACCTACCTTTTCATCCATGGAAAGTGCACCTCAAGAAGAGCAGTCGCGGCCAGTCCATGGTTACAGCCACAGCCACCCGGCCATCAACACCAACACCTGGCCATTCCATAACGTGATCCACCACCGAGCGCCCACCCCCACCGAGCGCCCACCCCCACTAAAATCACCAAATTTTCAACACTAAATTTCTTAACAACTATAGCACCTATTAATAACGCGCTTGCAGTAATTAAATCCTTAACTCTTAGAGAAGATTTTATATACTTAGAAATAGTAGAAAAGTATAGTTACTTATAGTTAACCTTATCTAGACACTACTAGAAAATTTAGTAGGTATATACTACTACTCTACTAAATAGTTAAATACTTAATACTATATAAGAAAGTAAGCTTATAAAGTATATTAAAGAGCTTTATAAGTAAGGATTACCTTTTATATAGACTATTATTTAAAATTTTATAACTAAAATAATAGGGAATCTAGTAAGTAAAAATTAGGTATAGCGCTTTATTAACTACTATAATATTAATCTTATCTCTTATTAGGCTACTAGGCTTAATTATAACTGCTTTAAAGCTAATTCTACCTTTAAGTATAGCTTAATATAAAGGGCTTAGGCTTATGCCTAAGCCTAGGTCTAACACAAGACGGACCAAGTCTAACACTACTACTAAGCGAACACACTAGACACCTATAAAAAGGCGTAGAGGGCTTATCTCTCCTTTAAGATACTAAATACTATTATTAACACTTATTATATTCTCCCTTAAGGCTAGTCTATAATATTTTAGTATCTTCTTCTAAATATACTATAATAGTAATAAGAGATAGACGCGCTAGATATTTAGAATAACTAGGTGCAACCTAATATAGTAGAAAGGCTAATATAATAGGTCTATAGATTAATAGAATAATAGGCTTAAGACTCTACTATAATAGCTATACTATATTAATAGAATAAGGAAATACGCAATTAGATTCTATCCTAACCCTCCTCTAAGCCTGCTAGGTTTAATAATATACTACCTCTACCCTCCCCTACCTTATATTATAAACCCTTCCTAGTTAGCTTACTATATAATAGCACTAAGGCAAACTTCTCTTCCTAGTAAATAACTATAGAGTTTAAACTACGTGTAGATAAGGTCTTTATTAGGGATAAGGAGGCAAGATTTATATATATTTAGTCCTAGTTATTACCTATAGTCTAGCGTGCTATAGCACTATACTTTAAGGATAGTGCACGTAAGTGTTAGAATATAAGTAGGTTTCTAGACTACCTAGTATTCTATTATAGCAACTATTATAAGTAGGAGCGCGCCTAAGTTATATTAGAACACTTATATTAGGGCTAAAATTAGCCTTTTATAGAGTTCTTTATAAATTTTATATAGCTCCTTATATAATTAGGAGGTTTATACTAGGATAATAAATAGAAGCTTTTATAACTTTAGTAATCTCTTAATAGTTATATACGCTTAGTTTCCCTTAATAGGGGAGTCTTTAGGACAAACTATAATATAGCTATAAAGGAATATAAGATAATTATAGTAGATATTAAAATAGCCTCTCTAGAACTAGGTTTTCTTTAGGCTAGTAAGTCTAAGGAACCCTAGTAGAAGTCTAACTTAGATTAGGACAGCAATATAAATATAGTAGAAGTAGCAGCCTTATTAAGTGCACCTACTAAACTGCTAATATTACGTCCTAACTAGATCTTATAGGACCTGTTTAATATATAGAAACTAGCTAAGGTCTATACCTAGTATAGATAGGGCAGTTATTTTATACGTGTATACCCTAATGCCCTATTACTATAACTAGTAGGTATTAAGATAGTTGCAGTATTAGCAAGCGGCCCTAATTTAGGAAACTAGCTACCCCTAACTTTAGGCTAAGTTAGGGGTATAAGGAGGACACTATAATAGAGGAATTATTAATAGTAGAGGCTATTAAGTGTCCCCTAGATATTAAGGCTAGGTTAAATAATCCTCCTTTCTTTATTCCCCTCCTTCTAGGTAGAGTAGAGAATATACAAGTAATAGTTAATTTAGGGTGCTAGTGTTTTAGTGTAGTTAAGGAAAAGTTAGTAAGATAGATTAGTAGGAACTTTATAGATATTCCCCTGTAACCCTTATAATATACCTAGGGAATTGCTAAGGGTATAAGAATTTTATAGTTAGTGGCATTAGACTATAATTTAGATAGTTAGCAGTCTTAGCTTTTAGCCTATATAGTACCTAGTCTCTCCTATTAACTAATACTAGGCAGACTATAGCTGTGTAGAGAGGGCGTTGTTATAGATATTCTATAAGGCAAATTAATAATTAGGAAGGCAGGAAATATAGTAGTATAAGAGAGCGGGAGACGCCTATATTCTACCTATATCTCTATTATCTTAGGTTTAGTTATAGTAAGGTTACTAAATTAAGGACCCTAATAGGAAGATATATAGGTATAAATTTTTATAATAAATATACTAGATATTTTATAAGTAATATATAACTTACGCCTAATAAAATATCTAGGAAGTATTAATAAGGGAAGTCCTATTAACATACACACTATCTATATTACTAATAGCATAGTTCCCTATAAGCCTAAGTATAAAACTAGAAAGATAAAGTTGCTACTAGAACTGCAAGAGTTTAAGGACCTGTTTAACAAAGAGTTAGTAAGCAGTTTGCCACCCTATTAGGGTAGTATAGATTACTATATTTAGTTAATAACTCTCCTAGATAGAACCTAGCCTAACCCCCTATAGGGTCCCCTATACCCTATATCTTATAATTAATTACTAGAACTAAGAATATAACTTACTAGATTAATAGATAAGGGCTAGATCTAAGTAAGCTCTTCTGCAGCTAGAGCTCTAGTATTACTAGTAAAGAAGCTATTAGGTGGTTAGCGCCTTTATATAGATTACTAGATGCTTAATAGCATAATAATATTAGACTAATACCTACTACTACTTATTAAGGAAACTTTGCGCACACTATCTAGCGTAAATTAGTTTATAAAAGTAGATATTCGCGCTGCCTTTTATAAAGTTAGAATAGTAGAAGGTTATAAGTCCTTAATAGCTTTCTATACCTAGTTTAGGTTATATAAATAGTTAGTATATCTATTTAGTCTTAGTAGTGCGCTATCTACTTTCTAATAATATATTAATACTACGCTTGCAGAGTTACTTAGATTATATATAATAGCCTACCTTAATAATATCCTAATTTATTTAGGAGGAGACTAGTTTAACTATATAGAAAAAGTAAAGTGTATACTTACACTATTAAAAGAAGTAGGACTATACCTAGACTTAGAGAAGTGTGCGTTCTATATTAAGGAGGTACGCTACCTAGGCTATATTATTAAGGCGGGCAAATTACTTAGACCTAACCCTAAAAAGCTTAGGGCAGTATAGGAATAGGAATCCCCTAGGAATATAAGAGAGGTAAGGAGTTTTCTAGGTTTTACTAACTTCTACTGCAATTTTATTATAAAGTTTTCTAAAGTAGTAGCGCCTTTAAACTAACTAACTAGAAAGGACACCCTATTCTAATAAGGAGAGGAAGAATAGAGTGTATTTAATACACTAAAAAAGGCATTTATATCTAGACTAGTACTAATATAATAGGACCTAGCTAAAGAAATATTATTAGAAGCAGACTATTTAGGATACGCTCTTAGGGGTTGCTTATTATAAAAAGTTAGGGGTGTCTAGCGCCTAGTTACTTACTACTCTATAGTACTAACACTAGAGAGACAAAACTATACTATATATAATAAGGAATTGCTAGCTATTATTAAGTGTCTTAAAAGTTAGTTAGTAGAGCTATAGAGCGTTTACAAACTATTTATAATATTTATAGACTATAAAAACCTAGAGTACTTTACTAGCCTCTAAAGCTTAAGCAAGCAATAGTGCTGCTAGGCAGAGGAACTTTTAAAATACTAGTATATCCTATAGTATAGACCTAGCTATCTTGCAGGATAACCTAATACCTTAAGCAGGCAACTATAAGATTTAAACTCCTCTAAAGCAACACTATAGTTAGTAATACGCCCTAAATTAATCTAGGTTATAGTATTAGAAGCAGAGGAGGCGTCTAAGTTACTAAAGGGCGCTAGCCTCTTTGCTAACCTATATATATAGACACTATAGGACAAAGTAGTATTAGAAGATAAGACATACTAAGTGCGTCTTAATATAGTTTAGAAAGGCGCTAGGTCTTTCTTAGTTCTAGCTAATATAAAGTAATAGATTAGGGACTATATAATTAGCGCACACGGCACTTTGCTTTAAAGGGGCGTTATTTAGTTGCTAATATAGGAACCCCTTATAACTACTATTATATAGCAAGCATATAAATTAGGTTTAGTAGGATATCTAGGAAAGCAACACATATATTTTAAATACTACGCTGTAACTATTATTAGGATAGAATATTAGGAGACGTTGCGTAGTATATCTAGAACTACTATTATTATAGTGCTTATATCTCCTAGAAACACTAATAGGGTCTATTATAACCTATACTAGTTACGTTATAATACTAGTCCTAAATATCTATAGACTTTATAGTTAACCTACCTATAAAAGATAATAGCAAACCTTAGTTCCTATTAGTTATTACTAATAGATTATCTAAATACGTTTAGCTTAAAGTAACAGTCTCTATAGTAGCTAATTATTGTATAAGGATCTTCTAGAATAACTAGTAGCAGTTCTAGGGCTTCCTATCCTCTATTATTACTAACTAAGGCTCTAACTAGTTAGGATCTTTCTAGATAACGTTATGCTAGATAACAAAGATAAACTAGTTACTATCTACTACATACCAC